AAGTCAGTGTAGATTATTGGCCACGAGACAGATCCTCAATATCCGAAACTACATCTAGGACTGAAATCGATCCCGTGTGGTCAATAAATAATTGATCCGAGGAAAAGAGGTAGGAATAAATTTGCGGCAACGCCCAGCGTAGACCTCTCGATTGACAGGTGGTGCCATAAAATTCATAGAATCCATGCTCCCACCACATAGGTCATAACCATTAGGAAAAAATCATCCACTAGAATTAACATCACTTGGATCTCTACGATACTGGCTCTGCACAAGGCATCATATTTTTCAGACATTTTAAAGGGGAAAATAATATTTTCTTAAAATAACGCCTCCTGTTCACCGCATGATTTTTTAATGCATCAATGAATGATTATTTCATTGGATTAGGTATGGGACTGCAAGTTTACATTCGCTGGCCTTTGATTCTCTGTATGTGAAATTATTTGAGACACGACGTATAATCTCCTCCTCCCCTCCCCACGTAATTGGAGTGGCTTGATTTAAGTCCTGGATGGAAAATTTTAAAGAGAAAAAATTGAAAATCTCCATTTTCAAGATACTGCCATTGCGGGAAGTCAGCAAGCGTTTTCTTTCATAACAGTTTTTAGAACCGAGTAGCCTAATCCGACAAAATGTCAAAGAATGACGTCTTATACGTAAAATTTACATCAAACATTCGTCAATATTAAAAGTTTTTCCGCTAAATTGGTGAAAATTTACTTTTCAATGGAGTTTTCAAATTTCAAACCCGAATTTATATTAAGTTACGTCCAAATTACGGACCTCTAGTAAAAGACTTCAAAAATGATTTATTTTTATTTTATTATTTTTTATTTTTATTTTGGAAAAAAATATTATACAATCAATTCTACGTGAAAGGGAAGGACTAAAGAACATTTCTTAATTGGAAGTAATAAAATTCCTCATACGATTTTCCGATGGTACGTCTTCCTAGTTTTTAAAATCGTTCATTAATCATGAAATTTTGCAACTCATGGATCAACGAACGAGATCTTTTTAGAAAATTGGATGAGGGGGAAGCAGTTAAGGGGCCTGGATGAAAATTCAATCACAACATAACTGGAAATCAACTGGAGGTAAATGTGTTCCAGCCGAGGGAATGGCCGGCAGGGGATACTGTGAAGAAATGAAGGGCGTTCCCGTGTTTCGTTACATTTCTGCCAGGTTCAAGGTCATCACGAAGAGATCCGCGGAAAAGACTGCCTCTCCACAGCGCAGGTGCTGGGTTTGTTCTGGACCCGATTTTTCGAAAATACCACTTGCGATCAACTACAGTACAAGGCGCCTTGCCACTTTATTTATTGTTCGTGTACCCACTGACCACCTATAGCGGATCTAGCGTCGCGCACAAGTGTAGGCTTGGCGCATTTCACCAAGGAATGATTCTCGACGTCTCTAACGCAACGAGCGACTTAATTTTGTTAAAGAAAGAAAGAAGTCAGAAACACACATAAAATAATTTCGAAACATTAATTTTTAAAATAACACACATTCAAAATTTGATTTCGTGATGTATTTTTGTCTAAAGCATGTGCGCGGCATCAAAATTTGATCTCTAATTATTTGGGCTGCATTCAGGGAAAGGAATCCAAATTCCATGACAGAATGAAAATGAATTCAATGGAAGTCATGAAAAGCACATTAATGAACTCCAATATAGAGGCAATTTTTGTTAATCCAGGATTTTTATGATTATTTTTTTATTGAAGAATATTGACCTTTTTTGGGATTCCTTTATTTATTTCAATTTTTTGTTTTAATTATTTATTTATTTATTTATTTATTTATTTTTTTGCATTAATGTCGAGATTATTTCTCTCAGCTGACTGGCAAGGGTGTCAATTTAAATTACAGAAAAGGATCAAGTGATACTCGGCTTCCTTTGAGATTTCTATGAGACACGGATAAAGCCTGGTATCGGTTATAAGATCGCGCAACTGTATAGTTACGATCCGTAAAAAATCCAGTGGCTATCATTCGATTTCTGAGATTGTTAACCCCGCATTCAGTAGATACCCAATGCACAGTCAACACTGACAGGAGTCAATTACTGGCTACTAGAGTGCCTCGGAATCAGATACAGTCAGATATGAAAGGAACTAGGGGAGCTGGGGGGCCTGCCCCCTAAATTTACTTCGCTCCTCTCAAGAAATGTGAGGAAATTGGCGAAATATGTGACATATTTTTCATCTTGGATATTGCAATTAGATCGATTTTTCGGTGAGAACAGCTAAAAATTGATCTTGGGGCCACTCAATTATTCAAAATTTTCTGGAGGAGGCCTGCAACCCCCCTTTAAAGCTACGAAAAATTCGCGAGCTCTCCTCTGGAGCTGGGTAAGTTCTGCAGACGAAGGTAAACCTCCCTTGGATCGTAGGTTTTTTGTAACCCCCGATCCCCTTTGATGAGGTATCCCTTTGCCCCCCACAAAAATTTCCTAGCTCCGCTCGTGCAGTCAGGAGGTCTAAATGTTATTATCAGGCATTTTTTTCATAAAATGTTCAGAGAGGAAGTAAGTGCACATGTTACTCATTGGCTTCAAAGGCAAATTTTCGCCAGTGGATTTTGAAGATGTTGACTTCTGCCAACCTCCGTTACAACAAAACGGAATATCCTCCGGGTGACGGTGCGCCTACAACATTTGGCTTTCAAAGCTGGCAGCTTTGACGACCACATCCAAAATTCTCGATACACGATCAGATTCCGAACCAATTCCGATCAAAGTAAACCAGTTGATGACTGATGGTCACCATGTAACAGCCTCTTTTGATCAAAATTGGACGGGCCGTAAAATTTTGATCAGAATGAAAACATTTCTGTTAAGTTTTCATTTGAAAATTAAGCGAAGTAACGATTCTAAGACTGATGACTCTCGACACTTTACCTCCCGAGGTGGGTTGAAAAGTGGATATTTGCAAAAGTTGGCCAAAATTCATCAAACAACTGAGCTTCGTTCTTGACTTCACCTGAGGGTTTTCCTCCTTCGGTTTGCAACCCTGTCAATCTGATTGAAAAAGTCGACCAAATCCATTCGCGAAAAGTCACCAATAGAGGCTCTTGTCTATTGACTTACAAGCTGATCTTTTTTTTTCTTTTTTTGATACCTAAAAGTTTTATAAAAAGAAAGAAATGGTTCTGTGCGTTGTTCTAATATGTCGTCGATCTGATTTACGCAGATTAATGTCCGTAAAAAGATATACAATAATAACAAATTAAAGAGCGGGTATCAGGGCTAATTTTCACATAAATACCACCAAAACATTTTGGCTAAAAACTCAGCCTTCTTCAGTAGGATGAAAACAGTAAAAATTGGAAAAATCTAAAAACGTCGTGCTTGGCTGAACCTTTCAAAACGAGAAAAATTTTGTTATCCAGTCGTTGTTGTTGTTGTTGTTGTTGTTAGGGTGCAGCCAAGTACTACATTTTTAGATTTTTACAATTATTTACTGTTTTTATTCGAGAAAGGCATGAGTTCTCAGCCGAAAAGTTTTGGTGATATATAAATATGTGAAAATTAGTATTATTACCCGCTGTTTAATTTTTCATTATTAAATGTCCCTAACTGCTTTGGAAACTGTAATAATATCAGAAGCTTGTGGTTTTTCTAAGACTCAGAGCAGTAGCAAATATTTTATCAACCTTTACGTTTTCTGTTTTCATGCAGTTGTACTCTTAAACACAATACGGCATACCTACTTTGCAAATAAAGATACTTTTACCAAAATTTCAACTTTTATGGTTTCTCTCGGGCCAGTGCTTCAACATATCGTTGACTGGTATTAAACATAATAATATTCAATAATCGCGATATAAGCTATACTCATGCCCCGATTTTCTCAAGTGGCAAAGTCACACTCATTTTATTGTATTACGTCAACATGAGCTGAGGATACCAATGACAGAATAAGCGAACCGCTCAACTTCTCCTAACTACTTTCTTTGATCCGGAAGTTCAGTTTTGACTTTTACCACGTTTCTAACTTTTTTTTCAACGTTTAAATAAGAAATAAACCTACTCTTCAAAACCGCAGTTTCTTTTTAAAATTAAGACTTCAAAACTTCCAAACTTCGGTTCCTTTTGATAATTTTTCAGCGTTTCATCACCAAAGTGGCCGCAAAACACTCCGAAATGAACGATTTTTCAACATTTCGTAGGTACTTTTGTTCCTTTTTCTTTGCATATCTACATTTTGCTTTTTTTTCAGCAACTGAGGGTCGAAAAGAATGGATACTCGTCTCAATTGGCAAAGATTAAGAGGACTTTGGAGACTTTGCTTTGATTGAAAGGCAGACGTAACAACTAACGCAAAAAAATTGCTTTAAGTTCCAATCAGTGTTCGAAACTCACAGGCGCCGACGAGCCAAATACGACTAAAAAATCGGCCATGGCGCCTAAAAATTGAAGGCTCTGCGCCAACGTCGCCCTTAAAAATCGCTCCCTAAAAATCTGAATTTTCATATTAGGTGATTATTCGACATTTTCAGCACTACAAGTGAAAACTTTTCTATTCTTCACGATTTCATCCTTAGTGCTTTGGTCTTCCCCAAGTTACAGCTACTCACTAGTTCTGTTACGAAAACATCTTGCGTCTAACTTTTCACTAAATGCGCCGTAATACATAGGCAAAAAGTCAATTTAGCCCCTAAAAATCTTCAATGGCGCCTAAAAATCGGGCATGATGCGCCACATGGCTCCTAAAACTTAAATGTGAGTTTCGAACACTGGTTCCAATACTCTCGAATGTAGAAGATCCGTAATATGCTAAGCTGAAATTAATGTCGGGCGTCGCGTGGGGCCCACAGTGCGACGGTAACTCCCTCTTTGCTAGCGGCTCCCCCTTTGCCACTCTTTCTCTGGCGCGGAAAAAAAAACCTGAGAGATTCCTCTCTTTTCAGTTATTTCAGTCCCTGTGGTTTTCTTCCCACCCATTTTTGTTTTAACCGACACACCCTCCTCCACCGCGCCCCCCCTCTACCCGCTCGCCACCTTTGTCAGCTTTTCCAGCGAGTATAAATACTCTTACGCGAGTGGACAACGGCATCAGTTGCAGTGTTCTTGACGACCAAACTTCTCTCTTTCAGCAAACAACCACAACCCCCAAACTCTCACCATGTCTCTCAAGGCTCTTGTAAGTTTTTAACTCTTTTATTTTTACATAAAATAACAAAATGTCTTGCATCTAGCTTAACATCTATACCATATAAAATTGCTACATTTTTCGTTCAAATTATTTTTCAAATTTAATCAAATCAAGTCATTGAGTTTCACCCATATAATTTTCACAGGAATATTGACAACTTTCAATGTTCGATCTCCTTAAGAAAAGTGAATCTTATTCCTCCATGAAGATACGCCGCTGTATTACTTCAAATAAAGTCGCCTTTTTCCCACGATATGTTTCTCGTCGTGTGCCTTTTTGCGTTTTTGAATCTAATATTTGATGCCGAGCATTTCCAGACACATACACAGATCGCTTAAGGACGTTTCATTCGTTAATTTTGAAAAATTGTAGAATTTTCTCCCCTTTGTTCTCTGAATTTATATTCTTTCAGACCATCAAAACTAATAGCTAAAAACTAAAACGTTACCAGCATTTATGTGAATGTATCTCATTCATGTATTGTTCCAAGTACTTCTTCAGCATAGTCTTTAATTCAGGCTTTTCTCGAAACGCAGCTACTTCGCAGCATTCGCCTTGTAAACGTAAAATAAAATTTCAATTCAATCATGGTCACATTAAGCTGTCTGTGTTTTTATTTTGAAAAAGCAAAGTTTTATGATGGTGTGACTGAAAAATATTTGTTCTAGAAATGCTCAGACAGAATTGTATTTGAAATCAAAAGCACTACTTTTATTATTCAATGTACTTTGCAAACATTAATTGAGTAAAAAGAAAGCAAAGTCAATCAAGCTCTTGACTATCTTTCAAATTGCAATTATCTCAAAATAATTACATCTGTTATCGGATCAACATAGATTCAATTGAACTTAAATTGAGTAGTGCCCACGGATTCGGTGTTAGGATCTACCGTAATGATGTCTAATCTCTGTATCCAAAAACCCTTAACTTATCGGGTTAAAAAAAATGTTGAAAATTTTTTTCCACTCGAGCGCGCACAATAGCTTCATAATAATGACGGGTTAAAATAATCTTCTCCCTGATCCTTACCGCAACAGTTCGCAAAGTTTAACAAAATTTAATTTCGTATTTTTAGTATTTAAGTACACTGAGAAATAAAAGTATGGTATGAGAAACAATGATATGATTATGGGAACCTCTATAAGAGGCTCTATGTTAGTAGAAAACGTGAATCAAATCGCATTCTCCAAAAGTATGGTTAATTCTACCAGATGTCTGGTTATCGTTACCCGGTAGTATCACTGCGAGTCAAAAATCAAGTGGATTCATTATAGAATTATTACCATACTTCCACAGTAGCAGTGGCTGTTGAGAAAAGTTGTGAACACAAAAGTATAGAGGGAACGGTTGCAGCCCATAAAATTGAGGATATAGTTTAATGACTTCTACGTAAATTTTACGTTTTCTTATAATTAAAATAATACTATTTTTTACTTAAAAGAATTCCCCGAAAGGTTTCCTGAAACGAGTATCTTAAGAGTTTTTTTACTTAAAATTTACGAGCTCTTAAAATTTACCTACAAGTTTTTTACATTTTTTTGGACAACTCTTTGTAGAACTTTTTTTACGAGCCGTTGCTACTAGGGCTCTGTTAAAATTCGTCATACTGTCGATTAGTATTTATCTTAAGGTCTCTGCACTGGAAAAAAAAGAATCTTAAATTTGCCGCCAAGAAGTATTTCTACTTAAATCAAGAATTTTCCTGCTTAATATAAGCTACTTTTTTGCTCAACCCAAGCCTTATTTGTCTTGAATCAAGAGAAAGTCAGCTTAAAGCAAGATAAAAAAAATTCTTGGCGGCAAATTTAAGAATCATCATGCTTGATCCAAGCTTCATTTTTTTCCAGTGTGTGCTTATTATTATTACTTAAACTTGTTTCTATACCTGAATCTTTTTTCATTTCCTTCTATTATCGTGCTAATATTATCGCTTTTCCTTTTTTTGTAGTTCTTCTTCGCTCTCGCCATCGTCGCCGTCTTCGCCGCTGAGCAACCCGCCAAGAGGGCCATCTACCCCGGTGAGTACAATTCCCCCATCAATGTTTTATCTCCCATTTAAACCTATGGAAAAGTATCGATAAACAGGGTGTTCGCAACGAACACCATAATAATCGATTCTTTACCATAGGTTCAAATGAGGAAATATCGATAATCGATAGTTCACGCCTCGTCACTGATTTACTTACGTATTTATGCACTGGACAAAAAAACACATTGGATCGAGAGTCCATGACTCTTGAAAACATTGACAAGAAAAAATAATTTTGATTCGATCGGATTTTTGCTTGAATCAAAACGAAATCCGCTCAAATTAAGAGGCCTGGTTCTTGATCTAAGCTAGACTCTGATTGAATCAAGAGTACTTTTTCTTGTCGATGTTTTTAAAAGTCTGGACTCTAGATCCAATGTGTTTTTTTTTTCCAGTGTGTGTGACCGTCTCTGGGAAAACGGACTTGAAAAAATTAAAACTTAAAACTAAAGCCACAAGGCTTAAATTTGAGGGTACCGGAGCGTGCAGGAGTATTTTTAGACCGAAGTTTATTGGTCACAAAACGTTATTTCAAGAGGGCTACTTGCGGTCTCTTATCTCCAAATTTAATCCATTTGACCCCCCTTTCTCATCACCCCACTCCAATTACTGAGGCTACGTAAATATGTGGGGTAAATTTAGCATTATCCTCCACTGAAAAATTGAAAGTACCTCTTTAGTGATACTCAATAGTGACAAAGTATTTTTTTTTTTTTCGACTTCTAAAAACAATTTTCTATCGACAGATCTTTGAGAAAAGTTAACTAAGAACTAAGCAAATTTTTTCAGAATTTTTTAAGAAGTCCTGAATTTCTCAAGGTATCATAGCAGTGGCATGGCGTACTTTGCGATGTATCAATTATTGATCTTCCATTTACACCTTTTGAAAAGGATCGATAACCAGGATGTTCGCAACGAACACCTTAATTATCGATTCTTGACCATGGGATCAAATGAGAAAATATCGAAAATCGATTATGCCCGCCTCGCCACTGATAGCATATTTTCTTTGATATTCAGACTCTTGAGAATATGATCCATTCACTTCGAATACCCAGTGCATAGTACACTATCAAAAAAAAAGTCTTGGTGCGATTTGCTGAACTGCATACACGTCTAGTCGCAAGATCATACGATTAAATGAGCTTAATCTTAATTTTCAACTTACTTTGTTACAGCTGCCTACCCCTACGCCGCCTACCCCTACGCCGCCGCCGCCTACCCCTACGCCGCCGCCGCCTACCCCTACGCCGCTGCTGCCCCCGCCGTCGTCCCCGCCGCCGCCTACCCATACGCCGCCTACCCATACGCCGCCTACGATGATGGCAGCTACTTCCCAGGCAAATACGGACCCCTCTCCAAGTAAGCTGTGATGTCAACAACATCAGAGCCCCCCCCCCTCAAATTCACTCCTCCTCACTTCTGAAATTCCGATTGAAATTTGGTCTGAACCTCCAATAAGAACAATGCATCTGCAATAGTCACCTCCATTTTGTTCAATTTTCAAAAATTAAAACTTTCCCTCCGGTAATATCATGTCTTGCTTTATTCTCACCTTTTCACCAAAGATCCTCTGAAAGTATCGAGTGTCAGTTTAAAGGTATCGCTAACGAAGGAGTCCAATCAAATTTTTGATGCATTTTTATCTCGCATTCTGGTTCTTCAAACTTTTCTCAGAATGAAATTTGTAATCAAAATTGAAAATTTTAGCCCATCTTTCGCTTTAATATTCGAGTTTAAAGTTCATGTGTATCGGAGGCTTCCAAGTAACTTTTGACTCTAAGCATATTTCTCTCAAACGTCTCTTAAAAATTTCATGCGTGATACCTTTCAATAGAAAATTTTCATAATATGAGCTGAATTATATAAATCAAAACAAATATAAATAAGGAAAGTCAGCGTAAACAATTTTACAAAATGATTGTTAAAGTTGTTAAAGATAGTTCATCTCGAGCGGAAACTGTCGTTTCCAAAAGAGCCTTAAATTAACAAAAATAAAGCTCGTGCTGACTCAAAACTTGTACAACTTCTCCGTTTTAAGACTTGGATTTATCTGAGTCAGATTAGAAAGGGAGAAAATGCTGGAGAAGATAAGGAAATAGTATAATGAATTATATTTGTGCATGCTTCTCCTAATGTAATTTTGTCATTTTGATTGACCATCTTAGGATGAATAGTAAGAAAATAGTAATCCTCCAATCAAATTAATGTTTCTTGATGATGTGGCATAAGAAAATATAAATCCTGCGACACTTTAAGAATCAAAGATATATTTAGTGCACACGTTACTAAAAAAATCTTGAGGGTGGCTTAAAGTGTTTTTCAAATTCAATTCCTCCGAAAAAGGTAATTTTTCCCCTGACAGAGGAAAGACCAATAGACTCCTCCTTTTATTACTGAATCAGTTGTTTTCTAATGGGAATAAAGTTTTTTGTAAGCTCTCAAATGCATAAAAACACTCGCAAATGAAGGATCATCTAGAAATTGGTTTGTTCCTTTCGAGATCATCTGTTTTAACACTGCCAAGGCAGAGCGCTTTATAGGAGCCCTCGGGCGTTGCCTATGATAGAGCACAGTTTTCCTGAGAAACTAGTGAAAAGTTTTCTTCGAATTTGTTAGAAAATTTCGTTCGACATTTAATTTGAAGTATCTAAAAAATTAAAGCACAAAAATCATTATAATTTTATATGGAGTATTTGGCAATATTCGAATGTTTATGGGGCGTTTTTCCTTTGAAATTGCTTTTAAACATTGCACACGGATGAAGCAAAAATGCGTAATGCAAGGTCGCGTTTATGACTCTGTTTAATTTTAAAGAATACTTAATAAATAAGATAAATATACATTTAGGTATTTGATCTAAATAGACCTTGAATATGGACGAAAAGAAAGAATTCCTTAATATTATTCTGTTCCTGTTCATCTTCTGTAGTAGATGAGTCAAGAAAAGTGAAAATACGGCAATCATTTCAGTTGGCTTCAGCATTTGAGCTTCCAACCTATTTTCCATTGAATTATAGATCTGAATTCGATCATCACAATAAACCTCTAGACAAGGTACACAGTTAAGCATTTCTGCATTTTTTCAGTACTGCATGTTTCCTGACCGGAAATTTCTCGTAGAATTCGATTAGCGCGACGAAACTTACTGAAATGATCTCCTAACTAAGGATATTTAATGTTTCTTGACACGTAAATTCAAACCCCCCGCTCATAAAAACACACTAGTCTACGTGAGTCAAATCGCATACTAAACTTTACCACGACAATCTCCGCGGTATGAAAATCTGGAAGCTTCACCCTTGACGCTCCAGCTTAACTATAGCAAATTGTTTACTCTCTGAACAATAAAGGGTGGGGAAGGAACAATGATCGATTGAGAGGCCTGCTGTAACCGTTGTAGCACGCAATTGGACTCAAGTGGGGTATTGCGCTATTTTGGACTGGGCAATTCAAATTTCCCGTAAACAATTTAAAATAAAAACGTTATTAACGTTAGTTAGGAGTTGATTTCAGTAATTTCCAATAAAAGAATCGTGTTTTACGTGAAATTCTAAGTGAGGAACATGTATCAGAATGCTTAAATTCGTACTTTGTCTAGTGGTCCATTAAAGCTTTACCAACGGGCTCCACGAAAGAGACAAATCCCAAATTCTATAATGATTTACATTCAAAAACAAATCTGAAGCCCAATTTAAATTCTATCCACACCTTCGGGTAATGGAGACTGCGTGGTACGATTCATGCAAAGTGAGGCTCCTGCAGTTAATGTCCCCATTACAAAGCAACTACTTTTCTACGCCTGCGTTTAAGTCTCCAAATATGGATATGTACATCGCGGCGTGGTGACTATGAATCGCACCAAGGCACGCCACTATTTCACTATTGGCCGCCACTATTTTGCAGTGCTAAGGAAAAACGACGTATGAGCCTTCAGGCATTGCCAAATTTCCTTCGACGAAACACGCAATTCCTGGAAAACTTGTAAATATTTTTCTACCAATTTTTTACAGGATTTCATTCACAATTGAATCTAAAGTATCTGAACATTTCAAAAACAACTTCATAAACTCAACTTCTTCATTCATAACTTTCTTCAAAAATTAACATCTTACTGTAGGAAATTTGGCAACTCTCGAATGCTCATAGGACGTTTTTCCCTAGCACGACAGTATTCTTATCATGTGCAGCAGGAGCAGGTTTGCACAGTCAAACATCGATGACTCGAAGTTAAATGGAGACGAAAAAAGTTCGAGCTATCGAGTTTCTGATAAGAGAGTAAAAATGAGAGAATTTTGAAATATTGAGTTCACATTCTTCCAGATAAATTCCCTCCCCGCAGTGGTATCACCACTGCTGAAAGGAATGGGGGTTTTCCCCCAAATATTTAGGTTTTCGAGTTTCGATTTTCGACTAGCAGTCTACTCTCGCCACCGGCGCAGTTAGCTTGGAGGGAGCCCAAAAATTTTAAAACATAGAATGTGAGCAAATATTACGGAATGCACCGAGATGGAGGAGGTAGAGGTTTTAGTGTAAGTTGTGGTGCGTTATAGTGCAGATTGAGAGGCTACGGTCCAACATTACTCAGGACTGCAATTTCAACAGTTTCCACTTTATTCAGCGAGAATACCTATGTTTGTGCAAATATTATGAGAGACAAAACACGGAAAAAATTAAATTGCTGTTTTAACAATTAAATTGCTAAAAAAAAAGTTACTGCAATATTTCAACGTAGATTTCACAACAAAAAAAATGCTATTTCAACCACTATTGTAAGCTAATTTAACCACGGGGCTCGGGGGTGGTTGAAGTTGCATTTTTTTTGTTGTAAAATCTACATTGAAAAATCGCAGTCACTTTTTTTTAGCAATTGAGTTGTTAAATCAGCAATTTAATTTTTTCTGTGAAGGCAAAAAGGGAAACGACTCAGCGTCACGTACCTTATAGGGAGAGTTATTGAGAGAAGATTATCAAAGAACCGTATCAGTGCATAGTAGGTATGTACATCGTTTCTGCTCGTCACTGACGTGACAATGTTGGGTCTCCCCTGATTTTTTTTTGATGATACAACTTCTACCATACTTTTGGTTTTACTTTCGGGTATAGTTAGACTGCAAAATATTATAATCTTTTTGGAAATATATTCATTTCCTGCGAATTCAGTTTTCTGGGAGATGAGGAAGGAAAAGTTTCATCACCGAGAAGATTTTAAATTACAAGGCCCGGTTGAAAAATAACGCCTCATAACTTGAGAACAACTGAAGATTTTGGCAAAAATTAAAGATATTCCAATAAGAGTAGACGTAATTAACTTTCTAATGATTAATCGGTTTGCAAAATTGAACAATTTTTGACGTCGCAGCGTTGCCAAATTTCCGAATTATCCTCTCCGACATGTTGAGGGAAAATATTACGATTGGCAAGTTATGCCACAGTAAAATTCTGGCCCACTAAAATTCGACGAATTCGAGATAAGCAAAACAAGCAAAGAAAAAGCGTATTTTCGTTGATGATCGGTCGAACCAAAATGGGTGGATCAAGCGGTTCCGTATTTTGTTTTGACGCGATCATAATTTTTCGGAACAACATCGTGATTCACCAGACAGATAGAAGGTGGAATTCTTGCAAACGTTGGAGCCAAAATATAATCCTACAAAAAGTAGGGTTTAGAAATGACCTGATGAAGATGATGGTATCCGACCAGCATCAATTTCGGAAGT